TTTCTATTTTTAGTAGAGACTGGGTTTCGCTCTTGCTCAGGCTGGTCTCGAACTCCTGAGCTCAAACGATCCACCCGCCTCGGCCTCCCAGAATGCTAGGATTACAGGCCTGAGCCACTGTGCCCAGCCCATAATTGCTATTCTTTAGCTGACAAAACATTATCCTGTAGATCACCTGGGCCTAATCAACTCAAAAGTCTAATTTTCTAGTTCTTTGAATTAATGATTTGCTATGCAAGCTTGCTATCTATAAGAGATTTAGTTAATTAGAGCATAGAAATATGCCACTAGAAGAGAGTAAGGAGGAGTTAGTCAAGAAGTAGAAATTAGTAGAAAATACATGCACAGACTTTGAGAGAGTGAGAAAAATAACAAAATGTAATGAGGTCCAGAAATACAATTAAACAGAATCAATTAAGATTCTAGATAGAAAGGCAAAACAGGTAATTATTATATTACAGTAAGATACATACAAAAGCAGAAAAGCTTTAATACCCAATAGAATTCAGGATATCATCTTATGGTCAAAAGACTATAGGTTTCAAACTCTCAACCCTTTCCTATATTACCCAGATTATAAAAAGAGAACATGAAAAACTGATGATTCCATCTTCAAGATGTGGTATATGTCAATTTGAAAAAGAAGGGCAGCAGAGATAGAATTAATTGTTTTCTATAGTTTTTACAGCCATCTGTGAAACCAAGGTGCTGTGCAAGCTATAGGTGACTTGTTCCAGAAAGCTCAGATAAATTTCTCTCTCCTGGTGTCTGAAACAAATAGAGATCTGACACTTGTCCTCATATATAGCTGCGCTCACTCTTCCTTTCACAATGAGGGGTTCTAAGAAGCATCAATGGCATAAATTTTAAAAAAGCGAATAAATGGCCAGGCATGGTGGCTCACACCTGTAATCCTAGCACTCTGAAGGCCAAGGGAGGAGGATTGCTTGAGGTCAGGAGTTCGAGACCAGCCTGAGCAAGAGTGAGACCCCGTCACTACTAAAAATAGAAAAAATTAGCTGGGCATGGTGGTGGGCACTGGTAGTCCTAGCAACTTGGGAAGCTGAGGCAGGAGGATTGCTTGAGCCCAGGAGTTTGAGGTTGCTGTGAGCTAGGCTGACGCCATGGCACACTCTAGCCTGGGCGACAGAGCGAGACTATCTCAAAAAAAAACAGAAAAGGAATAAAGAGCTACCATTGAAGAGTATAGCTAATATTAATTTAGTACTTATATGCTAGATATCGTGTTTTATATCTGTTATCTAATTTAATTTTCAGAACAGTCCTATAAGGTAAGAATTATTATCTTTATACACATGAGAAAACTGAGGCTCTGAGAGATCAAGTACTTTGCCCTAGGTCACATGGTAAACCAGAATTTGCACTCAGGTAATCTGAGAGTAAAAGACTGGGGAAAGTAGAATAAAATGTTATTTTAGGGCAAAGGAATGGCACATATTTTCTCCCTTCTTTATTTCCCAGGTATAAATATTACAAAACAATGGGTGAGACTTTTGGATGGGGAATGAAAGGGTTCTAAAGGCCTTAGCTATTAGATGGACAGGGGGAGTTTATTTTTTGAGGCTCTCTAGGTAAGGTTTTTGAGCTTTTAAGGGCATTTGAGCACCTTTTTTCCTCATTCTTTCTCTTTCATTTGGGCTGAGAATTCTTGCTTTGTAGAATATGAGATAGAAGAGCAAAGGTGGGGCCCAGATGAAAGAAGTCAGGGTGACAGCTGATGATAATGTTTTAATCTTAAGGGAAAGAAGTAAAGACGCTTGGAATTTCCTTCTGAGATTA